GAATATATAATTTATTTTAAAATATATATATTAAAAATGGGCCAAACAGACAACTGCACAACTGAAATGCTGAATTCCAGTTTTACATTTTTACAAGCATTCCCTGCCTAAATGCTTCCCATTCTTCCTCTTCCCAGCATGCACTTGGACTCGAGTCATGGATAGCTGCATCGTTTGACAATCTTCATGTATATTTCTGACAGAAAACATAAGATTAAGATTAACTATGAATTTAAAACCGAAATGAATTCTCATGAACTTAATCATGTTGTACAACTTACTCACTTACTCATTACTTCTAAACAGTTGTATTAATTAAAAAAAATTTTGTGATCTGTTTCCAGTAGATAAACTTTTTCATTTTTAGCAGGAATAATAATTATTCTGTTCGATGCTTGCTTGTGGCTTTTGCTTGTTTATTGTTTCAGACAGCTTGACTTTTTTTCATCACATTATTCTAAGAAACACTGCATGAATTTACTTGGCTACCATTCTGGGAAAAAATGGTCTCCATTTAGTTTGACATAACTTCCCTTTGGGGACGTTTAGGTCTAAGGCTTAAGTTATGGTTCATTTGAATAAATAATTTGAATTATATTTCATAGACACAAGTCTATGGTATATCTTCTACTCTGCCGGTACATTTCTTTATTAACCCAAATCAGCATTATAATGCATTATAAAATTAACAATCATATTTAAGTTTCGTTAAAAGGCATTTAGATACAATTATAAGAAAACTCGGTAACACTTTCTATGAAGCCCGTATTTATAATACATTATAAGGGTATTCTTAAGGCATTATAATGAATGCATAATGCATTATAAAAAAACTTATAATATGTTATATCAACTCATGAATAATCATAACAACAGTTATAATACATCATAATACTTACGTATTTGTGGTTATAAGTTTAAGAGTATGATTATTTATAACACACAATGAACACCATATAAAATCTATTTTTACATTTATAATGGACTATATATCCTGACATTGTTTATTTAAGATCTGCACAGTATCTTACTACAGCTTGTGAGTGGTTAGATGTTGAGTGTTTCCTGTGGAGCTAATGTTAATTAAACGATGTGAGCTTTATACTCCAACTGAAAAAAATGCAATGTTTTATATGGTTACATTTTATTTTGATGGCCCCCTTAATCAATCGACTATAAGCAACTCTGCAACTACATGCCAACTAACTCTCATTAGAGTATTAGTATGCTCAAAAATGGTAGAATCTAGTATGGTAGAATAAGTTGACGTACTTGCAAAGACACTTATAGTCAGTTTATCTGGTTGGTTGACCATCAAAATAAAGTGTTAGCAAATATTTACAGTAGCAGACATACTAATACTCTAATGACCGCTAGTTGATATGTAGTTGCAGAGTCACTTATCAACAGCTGTTTAAAGGCTACCATCAAAATAATCAAACTGATATTACAATAAAAATAGTTAACAATATAATGTATTATAAATACGGGCTTCATAGAAAGTGTTACCAAAAACTACTGTTTTCTGGTGCTTCTCTATCAATTTCTGAGACTCTGAAGCACTGAAAGAGATGGAGAGATACAGAAAGACATTAAAATTAAAGTGCAGTATTGATGAATGGACTATATGCATATTTTTTTATTTCGCTGAGATTCAGATGAACTGACCGCATATTTAAGCACAATAATGAAACTCCTCTCTGCAAATGTGACCATGTAAATGTATGCGTGATGAATATTATACTGTCTCTTTCTATTAGTTTTTACACCTCAGCAATAACACTTAAATTCGGCAAAACATTTTCACTGTCTTCAAGGAAATTTACCGTATTGACCCGAATATAAGACGATGTTTTTTTCTTGGAAGTACATCTGAAAAAACGCGGTCGTCTTATATTCGGGCCAATACGGCAATTTCCTGTCTCACACACTGTTAATAGAAAGATCCCAGCTGTCTATGTACACAGCAGGGTACGGAGGTCCCTATTTGAAAAACCAAATGTTTCATTATGAACATGATTTAAAAAAAAAACAAGACAAATAATTCAACAGGAATATCTGTAGGTTTAAAGAAGGATATAAGGAGGAGGACCAAACCTGTTCTAAGCAGAATCAGAACACTAAAACATTTTGTAGACTAAACGGCTGTAAACGATTAGCTGTCTATATTAGCTGACAGTAAAAACTTGTAATAGTGTGTAAAAGTCTGAATTCAGATCTTTGTGTATTTCTTGAGACATATCCAGAGAAAACACAATGTGTTGGGCTTATTGATGCTCATGTAATGCGGAGCACAATTCAGAAATCCAATTTGTATGTTTTTAATGAATACATAATTCTAAAACATCTTTGACAAGTGTATGTTACAGTCTGCGCAAAGACACATTTCCTAGATAATTCATCTATATTCGAACACTCTTATCAAATCATCTTGTTTCATTTCATGCTTTGTAGTTCATTTTTGTGCTAAGACAAAGCATTTGTTTTGACTTCTGACAAAAGAGAACCAGAAACAAAAGGACAAAGAATGCAGGATTACAGAGAGTTTGTAATATTGAAACATTTCATATTTCACCAGAGTTTATCATTGTACATTTACAGCTTTTGTTCCAGTGTTCTGGTACCAAGGAAAATTTCCTTTTCCCTTAAACACTGGCACTGCACAGTTAACTACTTTCATTTGTCTTTGTGCATGTTTTGGTATCATTACAGTTTTCAATTTTATCATCTGTCAAAATGTGGTCTGCGTGAATCCAAAAGGAGACCAAGTGGTGATTGAACGCACATTTAAAGTAATGAAAATACAATATTCTCGAAACCACAGAGATCTGGAAGGAGAGCAGGCTATAAAAAAACAAAACAATCTCTGAAATGGCACCCAGACTCCATATTAGATTTGATAAACCTTCCCAGATTAATGTTACATTGTGGTCATCCTAAATATTTAATTTAATTTAATTTAATTTAAATAAATCTATGATTCTCAAAAAAAATTCCTTTCTTTTCTGAAAGACACTGTTTGGTATTTTCAATGAAACAAAAAGATAATGTTCAAAAAATGCCTTCTAAATTATAGGAATTAATGTTAAAAAGTCTTAAAACTGAACATGAACATTCACCGGCAATTAGATACTATTAATTGAGTTGTTAAACATACAAAGGCATCTATCAGCATAGCCCCTCATGTTAAAACAGGCACTGACATAAAGTGTTGGCTCTTGTAAAACAAGAAAGATGGAAGTTTAATTTCAGTGCCTCGGAGAGATTTCATAACATATGGAATGTGTTACATGTCACAGATTATTTTAAGAAACTTTCTTTTTATGACTGATAGTTTAACTGCTTCATTTTGCTTAATTGGATCTTGTTTGTGGTCACACTTTTTCCTCCCACCAGTTTGTGTTCAAAAAAAGCCCTCTAAACCTTAAGCCAGTACAGCCATGCTGTTGGGGAGGCTCAAATGAAGTGGAAAGTGCTCTAAATCTATAGGGACGTGACAGCCAGTGTTTGCGTGTCTGTGTTTTCTTCAAGCTTCAGAACTGTTTGAGCACTTGTAGACTGGATTGGAGAAAGAGAGCTTGCTTTCCTTTGAGCTGGAGACCTGAATAACACACACAAGCAAAGACGGGCCCAGATGAACAAATGAAAACCACTGAGTCTTCTTATAGTCCATTTATACAGAGCAATTCTGGAACACTCGAGCGGCCAGCAACTGCATCCTATCATTATGATGAGACATTATGATGGACCTTTCTTCCATTATGATTTGTCCATATTTTCTCTGGTACCTTATTTTCATTTATTGCTTAAGCAGAAGATTAATGTATTACTTAGGTCCTCTGGTCCCAAGCCTCAGTCAAATCATTGCATGTCAAAGCTATATGTGATGAGTGCAGAGCAATAAAACAGTCCACAGATTGCATTGTACATCACCAGTATGTCTTTTCAAATTAAAAGTGTTTTTTGGGGTGAAACTGAATGGTCACTTTGTTAATTATGACAACCAGACTTTCATACCTTTGCATCCTCTCTCCATGGGTAAACGCTGATGTTTAGTCGAGGATGTACTGGCCATCTGGGTCTAACGTCAAGAGAGGGCAGCTGAAACCAGAATTACACAGTAAACTTATTTAATAAAATGACAGCTATAGGAACAACCATAATAGTAATGCTTTAATATATCATCTTTCCAAAGCTCACAGTCAAATTACATTAGTGTAATACAATTATGAAAATCAATAATTGTTTTCAAAACACTAGGGTTCCTACTGCATTACATTTTTGATTCAGCTCACTGACATGAATGCATAACTTAGCAAAATATGGAGAAATCTCAGTTAGCCATTAAAATATGCCAGACCTCACTAAAAACTACCCTTCACTGCACAGGAGAGTGAAAATTACTGTGCCGCATGCAAAATACAGCGAGTTTAGCACTGAGCGCTAAATGTACACATACACCAACACAAACGCACAAACGTAAGCTTGCGGGTCAATATTTCTTATCAGCAGTGTGACAGAGCTCTCTCTCACACCTGCAGAGCGGTTCAAATTACTAAATAACACAGTTCGCTCCAAAGTGGAAAAAAGGCAGTAAGTGGGAAAAAAAAGAAATGGAGAGGGATGAAAAAAAGAGAGTCTAGGGAATGTATTAGAGATGCAACATGGCAGGGAAAACGAAGGTCTCTATTAAAAAACAAACACACGACTGGATAATGCTCAACTTATTTGATCATGGCTTTTATAATTTGAGGTATATGACTGACCTTTTTCTGCAAGTCAAAGGTTGAGCAATCCAACTCTTCATTATCAATAAGACTGGAGTCTCTGTTCAGTCAAGAACAATGCAGTCAATACCTATACATTTTATAGACACTTTCCGAGTTCATTTGAATGTGAATGGACTTACTTTAGTGAAAGTCTCCTTTGAAATAACAAGAACAGAATGACTCCAGTTGCGATGACCACCAGGATCAATGCCACACTTAATCCAACACTGACAGCTGCAGAGTTCACAATTAAACACACATATTATTGCTTAACTAGTACATTTATATTCAAACAATTGCATGTGCATATACTCACCAATCCAGTTACCTAGTTTACTATCTGGTATCACAGCTGTTGTGGACGCGGTTGTGAGAAAAGGTTTTTCTTTTATATGGCAACGATTACCTGTCCACTGTGATGGACAACTAGAGAGGAAAACATAATTATTGCAGAAACACGCACACACTGACTTTAAATGGCAGAGATAATTCATAAGGGAATGCTGGCCATCCTCAACTTTCCAAAAGAGAAATAAATAAATAAGTGCATGAGTATTTGCCTGGAGACATCCACATGAGCTTAATATCAGCAACAGCCTTCCCTTGGCTCCTGTAATGAGAAAAAGACACGCATTCTCTCTTTGTCCCTTCTTTCCTCTTACTTTCTCCATGTGTTTTCTTTTCCTTTTCTTGCCTGTGGGGAAGATCTTTTCACATAAAGAATGCCCTTAAGCTATTCTGCAAGCAACCTCGTGCACACACAAACACACTAGTGTCTGCGAACAAGAGACTTAAGTAATTCTTATAATTTATTAGCGATGACATACACCATTTCAAAGAGAAAGACAAGGAGAGAGAAAACATTTGAGGCTTTGGGGGGTTAATTCAAATGGAGAAAGATTGTGTTTCTTGGCACAAGTGGAACAGTAATTACAGAAAGCCTGCTTTGGCAGTTCGCTGAAAAGTGCAAGTTTAAACTGAGAGTCAGGGTGCTGATACTCTTTGTATAACTCACACACATTTCAATGTGATATTCGGCTGGCACTGTAGGATAGCATGAATAATTCAATGCAAAGATCTCCAACAGGGTCTTGCCACCTGCCTGACCATGACCGACAGGTGAAGGTGGGGATTTTTTTCCCCAGGTAAAACTGAAAGGAGGTTTTAGGTCAGACTTTAGGCAAACACTTTTTTCTAACCCAACAAAAATCATCATCTATTTGTCCTCCATAACAAACATATACTTTGCATTAATCTGTATTAGCAGTCCAAGAGGAGTGAACAGTAAGAGAAAGCCTCTTTAGTTGCTTTAAATGCATAGCTTCTGTTATACAGATGAGTGCTCTATTAACTATTATTAACTATTATTAACATTTTGGGATTCACTGTGAGTGTACTATTGTGCTTGGGAAACTCACATGCACACTGCTCCATTTTCCTTTACTGAACACCTCCCTCCATTGAGACAGTACCCAATAGGACACTCTAAAAAATAAAACACATCCACATATAATAATGACTTATGTTAAAATCATCATCATAACTGAATGATAAAATGTGATAAGGACCTAATTTCACACCATTAATTAACACAGATCAAGTGGTTAAAGTTATGGGCTGGCGGCTAAAGGGTGCAGGTTCCAGCTCAGTTAGGGGCAATCCTTAACAAGAGAGTTACAGAGAGTCCCCATTAATGACGTGTCCTTGACCGAGGCTCTTCACCCCTACAGTGCTCCTGGGCCACAGCTCCTTTAATCTGAAGATTGCAGGAATATTCCCCTGAAGAAAGTGCCCACTTAATGAGAAGTAATATATTATGCTACTCCTAAAAAGTCCCTTTACTTTTATGGGCTTTATGTTGTTCATACATTTTTAAGCTATAAATTTAAACTTTCATTTAGAGAATAAAGTCAGAGAAGTATGTACTGATCTTGTCTTTGTCTATTCCTTTCTCCTCAACCTCTCTCACATTGTCTGATGAACAATCATTGGTTGTCTCAGAATCACTGAATCATTTTTCGACCCCGAAAACACTCCTAAATTGAAATCCAAGATTTTTTTTATTTTTTTATTTTTTAGTAAAACAATATAACATACCGTTCAAAAGTTTGGGGTCAGTATGATTTTTTTTTTGTTAACAATTATAAATTAATTGATCAAAAGAGACAGTAAAGCACAACTGATTTTAAACATTGATGATATGATGTTTCTTGAGCACAAAATCAGAAAATTACAGAAATACCTTATTATTTAAAATATATTAAAATAGATTAGAGTTATTTTGAATTGTAATATTTCACAACATTACTCTTCTTACTGTAATGTTCACCCTATAGTTTTGAATGGTAGTATATACTTACCAATACGTGAGTTTTACCGGAAGCGAATGTAGCAAACATATAAAATACGCCCAGTGGGATTTTTTTTAATAGAAAGATTAAAAATACGGGAGAAATACGGGAAAATATTTAAACGGGACGATAGCGGGATAGAATGGTAAAATACGGGAGAATCCCGGGAAAAACGGGAGGGTTGACAGGTATGTTTTTTGGGCTTCAAAATCTCGACCCCCATTCACTGCCATTATAAAGCATGGAAGAGCCACGACATTTTTAAAGACATTTTTAAATACAACTCCGACTGTAAAAATCTCGACCCCCATTCACCATTATAAAGCTTGGAAGAGCCAGGAAAATTTTTAATACAACTCCGACTGTATTCGTCACAGCAGCAAAATATTGACAAATTAAAAAAAACAAAACATGAATGATATGACCCCTTTAAATAAGAAAGTGAGATGAACGAATGTGTTTGTTTTACCATAGCAGCTGGACTCATCAGGGTTAAAAGGAGGGCAGTCAACAATATCGTCACATCGACTCTGATATGCTACACAGTCTGCTGTCGCCTCACACACTAGTTCTCCATCATCACATATCTTAACAGCTACAGAAACAGAGACAGAGAATTTCATCTGATTGTTTTACAGCTATGATGTACTACGATGTATATGAAACAGATTTGTGCTTGGGTCTTACGACATCCATATTCGTCTTCTCCATCTGGGCAGTCTAAAACCGTATCGCAGCGCAGCAGAGCTGGAATACAGCTGTTGTTCATGCAGCGGTATTCTCCCGTCTCACACCCTGTTTGAGGAGGCATAGTGCCAGGAACCACACTCACACACATCTCCTCATCCGAGCTGTCCAGACAGTCCACCTCACCATCACAGTGCCAACTCAGTGGTATACACTCAAACAGATACAAACACTGGAAGTGCTCCCTGTGGCATGTTTGTGGGATGGGGGTCACTGGACCTGAACATATACAGAAACAAAATAGTAAAGCCATTTTCAATTCAGGAAGAGACAAGAATCAAAAGCAATCAGTAGTTCTGTACCTCCAACAACACATTGTCTAGTGAAAGAGATGTCATCCACAGCAATGTCAGTCCACTGGTCTGCTCCCACTTCTGCCTGAACGATCACTCTGAAGGGTGATGCATTTGATAAGATCACATTAGCATAATGCCAGTTGTCTCCATGGTTTCCGCAGGTTGCCCACATTAGCAGAGGTGTTCCACTGTGGCCCATGGTATACACCTGCAATATAGTGCCCAGAATTCATTACGCAGTCTTCAAGAGGTGCTTTAAAGCTCAGTGTTTTCAATATAAAACAAAGGCAGTGAAAGGAATTTCACTGAACTCCTGCACATTTGGCTCCAAAAACGTTAAAGCTTATTTTTCATTACTCATTTTATGAATCATAATACATGCTCTTCTTTTCATGGAATAAGACCAGCGGGTGGAAATTTACTTCATGACTGATATTTAGCAGGCTGCAGTGCTCCAAAATGCTCATCTTTGCGAGTAAAATACTGCCACATAATGCAAAGGGAAGCTTCAAAGGTGGATATACACTGCAGCTCCAATTTTTTTTTAAAATGTTATAAAAAATGTCAGTAACACATGTTAGTATAGGGACCACTTTTCACTATTAACTAGTTGCTTAATTAGCATGCCTATTATTAACATATTAGCTGTTCATTAGTACGTATAAGCACATATTCTGCATGACCATATTCTACATCCCCAATCCTATCCAATACCTAAACTTAACAACTACCTTACTAACTATTATAAGCAGCAAATTAGCAAATTAAAATAAAGTGTGACCAAAATGTATATTTCAAATAAATGTTGTTCTCTTGAACGATCAAGTTGTCTAGTTGTATAAAGCTGCACAACTGTTTTGATAATTACTGATAATCACTGATAATTATTTAAAAAAAATCTTGAGCACCAAATCAGCATATTAGAATGATTTTTGAAAGATCACATGACACTCAAGACTGGAAGTTCAGTTTTTTCAAAACAAATGTCTAAACCGAAATAATTTTTCACAATATTACATTTTTACTGTATTTTGATTAAATAAATGTAGCTTCGGTGAGCAAGACACTTTTTCAAAAACATAAAAAAATACAGACTCTAAACTTTTGAATGGTATGGTAAAAACTTATGTAAAAGATGTTATTTGTGTATATTTCAAAATATATTTGTATTAAAGTATTATCTCACCTTCAGTGTACCCATGTGACGTGAGCCATACATGTGGAACCAAAAGCGCAGATGACATATACCGACACTCGCAGGAAACTCCAGCTGGCTTATGAATCTGGCGATATCTCCTTCTCTCTGAGCACTGGAGTTCACATACAGATACCCACCTCCTCCATCTGAAAGAGTAAACCAAATGAGACCCTGGACCACAAAACCAGTCATAAGGGTCAATTAAGAAATTAAGATTTATACATCATCTGAAAGCTGAATAAATAAGCTTTCCATTGTTAAGCATTGTTAAATAAGCTTTCCATCCTAATGTTTGTTAGGATAGGACAATATTTGGCCGAGATACAACTATTTGAAAATCTGGGATCTGAGGATGCAAAAAAATCGAAATATTGAGAAAATCGCCTTTAAAGTTGTCCAAATGAAGTTCTTAGCAATACATATTACTAATCAAAAATTAAGTTTTAATATATTTACAGTAGGAAATTTACAAAATATCTTCATGGAACATGATCTTTACTTAATATCCTAATGATTTTTGGCATAAAATAAAAATCAATAATTTTGACCCATGATCTTTACTTAATATCCTAATGATTTTTGGCATAAAAGAAAAATCTATAATTTTGACCCATACAATGTATTTTTGGCTATTGCTACAAATATACTCCAGCGACTTAAGACTGGTTTTGTGCTCCAGGGTCACAAATGTCACCTACAATGCATTAAATATTTACTTTAGCAAAGATGCCTGCTAAAACTGTGAAAATATGTAAATGAAATTGAAAAAAAAAAAACATTGGCATGTTTTTACGATCACCATTAACAATTACCATGGAGTTAAAAAAATTTAAATGTTCACAAGAATAAAAAAAAATCTACAACATAAAATCTATAACATGCATTAACAAAAAAGATGGGGTGAATTTTCATTTTGCATAGACTTCAATACTTTTACACCACTACACCCCTACAAATATTAGAAACAATTTCTTATCTTGTCAAAAATTAGATTATATTATTATAGTATTATGATAGAGATTGTAACAACAAACATTATTAGATTTCACTGCATAACTCCTCCACGGTTTTACTCAAAAGACACACTGTGCAGCAATTTCCTTGACTCTTTGTCTGGCATGAAAAATCAATAGTAGGTTCAGTAAATCGATCACCTTTTAGAGGGCAGACTCATTTTCACAATTAAAATAATGTACACTTAACGCTTTTACTGAGAGACACTGATCTTTTAGCAGAACCGGACATGAGTATATGAGGGGCAGAAATCCAGATCTTAATCACACCCATTGATGAAGTAGCTGGAAAATGGCTTTTAGTGATGGATTTTTCTGACTCTTCAACCCTGGTTTTTAAATCACGCAACGATTCATTAGATGATTCAGACGGCTGGCTTCAATTTTAGAGAAACCGCATCTCATATTCATGGGAATCTTGTACAAGAATTGCTATTTCATCCACATATATTTACATAAAATAGCAAGGTTTAGTCTTCGATTAATATGTAGCTTGTTTGGATTCAGGATCAGGTATTATCAAGCTGTCTGTTTCACTGTTTAAGGGAGGTAAGAAGATTCACTGTCCAGGCAATACAATCTGTGTGATCCACAGGTACTGTCAAATCTCAGCCAATCAGAAAGACACACTCATTATGACATAACGATAACATTTAGTTTTTAGTAATGCACATTTTCTAATTATTGAAAGCAAAACAAAGATTTTAATATGTTACCCTTTGGTGATATGTGTGTGTTTACTAGTCATATTTGTACTAGGCAGGTGATTGAAGGTCATTGTGAAGTTTAGGTTTTACTAACCGGGGCTGTGGTCAGCTGATGGTCCTGTCCCATTAAGCATTCTGCCATAGCCTATATCCCAATCAAAGTCATCGTAAGGATCCTGAGACAGATGGCAGGTCTCTTGCCAAAGGCCGCTGGGCATATCAAAATTACAAGCTCCTGGAACATGCACTAACAGACCACATGAACAGTTGAGATATTAGCTCCATAGATATTGTATTAATACCTATTTTGTATTTACATTGTATCTATATTGCATTAATACTCAAGAATTTCAAGGTTAGTGCAGATGTACTAACAGCAGTCAATCTCATCAGACTCATCGGAACAATCAGCTTTACCATCACACTCCAAATGATACTCAATACAGTCTCCATTATTACACACAAAATCTGTTACAGCGGGGCATGATCCAGGATGCACAGCTCCTGAAATACAAGGACACTTTTTCAGTCTCACTGATCTGAAACAGCATCATTTAAAAGATACAGTGGGTAAAATAAGGATTGAACACGTCACCATTTTTCTTAGTAAATATATTTCAAAAGGTGCTGTTGACTTGAAATTTTCACCAGATGTCAGTAATATCCGAAGTAATCCATACATACAAAGAAAACAAAACAAATAAGTTCAGAAATAGAATGGAAAGACCCAGGGAAAAATTATTGAACACATGAAGAAAGGGAGGTGCAAAAAGGCATGGAAAGCCAAGACACCAGCTGAAATCTATCAGTAACTAGAAAGCAATCCTGCCCCTAGTCAGTGGAAATTAATATTAGCTGGTTCAGTCCCAACACCTACAGTACCAGGATGATGAAGATGAAACAAAGGTGGACATTTCAGCAAGATAATGATCCCAAACACAGCCAAGAAAACTCTCAATTGGTTTCAGCAAAAGAAAGTAAAGCTGCTTGAATGGCCCAGCCAATCACCTGACTTGAATCCAATAGAAAATAAGAACTAAAGATCAGAGTTCATAGAAGAGGCCCACAGAACCTTCAATGTTTTCTTTGTATGTATGGATTACTTGGGTTGTTACCAACATTTGGTGAAAATTTATGTCAACAGCACCTTTAGAAATATATTTACTGGGAAAAATAGTGACGTGTTCAATATTATTATTATTTACTTATACTTATTTTACCTGCTGTACATGGTCCATGTAATAACAAAAATTATAATCTAACAATGAAAAGATGCGAAATCCAAATGACATGAAGTATGACCATATTCAACATCATTGCTCAAAATAGCAATAAAATATCATCCATCCAGAGCTTTTTAGTATGAATATCTTCAAATTCATTGAACATAACATGACAGCAAATTAAGTTCATTCATGCCAAACTATGTCCTGTTTAATTCTCCGAAACTTTGAGTTATTATGCCATGGAGCGAAAAGTCTTTATCTAGGAACAGAAATTCTTTAATTTTTATAATCTAATCTGGCATAAAACCAAATTAAAGTCTAGTAATTCCGAAAATTACAAACGGATGAACTCAAACAGAGATGAAGCTAAACTGCGATTGTGTATGCTATTGGAGTCAGAAATAATAGAAATATAGGATTGCCAAATGGTGATGTATAGATCTCTGCTAGGACATCTAACTGTCATCAAGAATGGCTTTCCCACTTACTGTATCTTTCATGGGTTTTTGGGACTCAGACAATTCTGTTGATGCTATAAAACCTTGCTTATGGATGGTCATACACAATATCACAAGCTCACAACTGCTTTATTAATAAAGATATCTTGCTGAGATAAAGTGAAGCAGAGCACCACATCAATAAAGGAGGCTACACAGTCTTACCGCTTTCATTTTTAAGTGTGTGATCATGAGGAGGTCTGATCATATGAATGGAGCCGACTCCATGAGCCCAACTAAAGGTATCTGCCATGCTGCTTTTCCAACCACAGTGCCCATGTTCAAATGAGCAGGACGTCCCACAATCCAATTCATCCGTTCCATCTCCACAGTCATCAGTGAAGTCACATTTCTGCTCTGGTTTGTAGCAATTGCCATTGTTACACTGTAGAGAACCCGGTGGACAGGATCCTGTGAAAACACACACATAGATAAATATTTTAATGTATAAAAACAGATGATGTTTATTTTATTCTGGTCATCACAATATGCTAATGTTTATAGTACTGAATGCTTCTCTTTTTTTGTTATTAATGTTTTTGAAAGGTCTCATATTTCACATAAATTCAAGAACCTATGTAAATTTTTGTAAAAACTTGAATATTGTGAAATAATTCAATAAAAAAAAACATTTTAAATACATTTCCCAATGTAATTTATTCCTGTGATGCAAAGCTGAATTTTCAGCATCATTACTCCAGTCTTCAGTGTCACATGATCCTTCAGAAATGATTCTAATATGCTGATTTGATGCTCAACAAACATTTCTTATTAAAAGAGTTTTGCTGCTTTATATTTTAGTGGAAACTACATGATGCATACTTTCAGGATTCTTAAAAAATATAAATGAACAGCATTTAATTGAAACAAAAATGATTATAAAATTATAAATGTATTACCTATCACTTTTGATTAATTTAATGCATCTTTGCTGATTGAAAGTATTATTTCTTAAATAAATCTTACTGACCTCAAGTTTTTGAACAGAGTTCTTATATTTTAGTTTATTTTTATTATAATAGCATTTTATTATGCACTTAAAAGTCATAATTAGCATTAAGTATTAAAGTATTAAGTATTAAATCTATGAACTCTATTGCACAGCCTCTGATTCTGCCTGCAAGATATAATGTATACTCATTTGTTTCATGGAAGAAAAAGATACTTTTCTACAGTTTCTCTACAAAGCTTTTTTCTTTCAACATGCTATCGGAAAACAATTAAGCTAAAAAAAAATAAATAAATAAAAAGGATGTTCATTGTCAATAGTGAAGCTCGTGGATTGATTATGCATTTGTGGAGCATTGTTATTCATTTACCTTTACACTGATAGCTCTGCATGTATATATGGCACAGTTAGTGCAACTGTACCTGGAAGTAACCGGGGAGTGGAGTCTTTCTCAAATTTGTTGAAAAGAATACAGCCTGATGAGAAGGTGATGTCATCCAGGCAGATGTGAACTCTGGTATTACGGCCCACCTTGCCTTCAAACATAATGCGGAAGTTGTCAGTAGACGAGAGAGGCAGTTCCTGTCTGCTCCAGTAGTTGCCTTGATTTCCAGTAAGGCTGAGTAAGAGTGAGCGGTTGGAGCTTGTAGACATGTACACATTCAGAGTGCCAATGCCGTCACCAGACATATGGACATAAAACACCATCTTGGAAATCAGACAAAAAGAAAGAATATTTTATCAATAATATCCCAGTAGCAAAAGTGCTGTTATAAACAAATATGCCACAGTAATCACAGCAGCGTTGATGTTTAGACCAACAGTACGATTACTAGTTTAATATTATTTATTTAACAGTTAATACTAATGAACTTACATTTTAGATACAATATTCCCAAATAGTTTGCCTATTTCTGCTCAGCCAACATAAATGGCTTCAAATCAGAATAAACTTTGAAAGTCTCCAAGCCTTTAATTAATCAGTGTTTTGAACAAACTGGTCGATTGAATGATTTAACTCACTAAAAAAAAAAAAAAACGATTCAGATTTTTTGAACAAATTAGTTAAGTGAATGAATCAATGACTTCCTCATAAAGATATTTATGTGTTTCTGCTGCTTTCAATCATTTAGATCGCTTGCCAATGTAATACTATATTCCAATCCCAAAAATATTTAGGCTAATTCCAGCTAAACGCTGGACTCAATAATACACTTCAAGTAAACTAGCAAATCTGCAAAGATAGTTTGCCACAATGGCGTCTATCTGGAAAAAAAGTTTCTCTTTTATTGATCGATTTTGCTTGTTATGGTGGCTGATATTCTTCTTCTGTTTCTGTATGTATGTGTAAATGACTCCTGTCAGTGTTTGACTGACTGGCGAGTTAGTGGAAGAGTTTGACCTTTTAGGATGAGACAATTGATTCTGTCACACACAAATTTGCTACTTTTACTAAGCATATAACACAAAATATAAAAACAACAACAACAAAAAACACCAAAGTTCCTAATTGTAATTTACAATATTAAAAACGTCTAACCAAGGCTGACAAGTACACACAAAAACTCCTCCTCTTCAGCTGCTTCTTGTGATTGATTGATGCAAGCTGAATGGGAGGACAATGGGGAAACGAGTCTCCATGGGCTAATTATCTCACACGCACATACACACCTCTAAAAAGGATGAACACAATCTGTCAAGTCAGAGGAGATCCAGAAACATGATTGCTTGCCTTCACACACAAACTGATGAGAGCTTTGAAAGGTGCTCCTCTTTCTCCCACAGACATTTTATGTGTGTATGTGTTTGACAGGATGATTGAGTGCTGCCGGCTGGCTCAATGACTGAGTTATGTGCTTCACAGTAACAGAGACAAATTCTGACATTCACTTCCTCCCATTATATTGAGCAAAAGCTATGGATTCAGCAATGCAGGGGAATTAAATATCCTCATTGCGCTAATGATCTAATTGGAAAGATCAATCTATAAAGCTTTTCCTAAAACACAAATATTATTCAAATAAATTCCTCTGTATTACCCAGGGCCATGAAGCCAGCTTGCTGTAGAAAGGTATGAGAAGACTTTGTAGAGGCAAAGCTTTGTTTGGACCAGTAGATGATCGGCAGCTACATTGTAACATATTGAGAGGTTACATGCAGTGCTAGGGGATTTTTGAAATTCACAGCAGGGAAGTTACAGAAATGCTGCTGGCTCCTATTTTCAGTGCTGTGTACAACACTGAGTTAAAAAAAAAAAAAATTTATAAATGGTATTACTATGCCTTTTTTTTGTGGATAGGACAGTAGAGTGATGACAGGAAAGCATTGGATGGAGAGAGGGAAGAAGGATCGGCAAAGGACCTCAAGACGGGAATCGAACTCGGGCCGCCGTGAGCACAGCTGCACTGTTTGCCGACGCACTAACCACAAGGCAGTTTGCGCTGACATAAGTGGTATTACTATGAAACTACGAAAGACCCAACCAGGAAAAAAGTCCAGATTTCAAGTTTGTGTATGTGAACCCAAAATCAAATTTATCTTTATCATCTTTTCAGATAAATAAGCTCATTGTACTATAAAAACATGACAACTTTACTACTTTAAGTACTTTATTCTTTCTAAGCCTATTAATAGGATTGAATTTAGTCAGTCTGTTTAAATTATACTTCCATAAACCTTCAAAAAATCCTTTTTGAAAATGGGAACTACCAACTGTAAACTTCGGCAAATGGTTTTCAGAAGCTGTTGGTGGCATCTGCACCACAGATGTCAAAGATGCTGATCTTATTAAAAAATATCAGTTTTCTCTGAAAAAAAAGGAAGCAGGAACATATGAACCAGTGGCATAGCCACGAGGGGGCCTGAGGGGGGGGCCTAGGCCCCCTCATTTGCATGTCTGCCCCCCTCAGTTTTTTGACTTCTTAAAATAAAAAAAATTAGGAATTGTTGATTTATTACTCTTATGAATTGTCCAATTACAATGGCGGTTCAATATTACAATTTTTCAAGAAATCACATAAAGATGAGCGAGAAAGAGAAAGTTTGCCATCTACGTCTGAGCCTGCTTCAGCTTTCCACAAGGAGATAGCGAGTGAAGCGGCAACTGACGTGCCCCGTTTTCAGGACACCGGTACGAACATTTCATCACAGGAGTGTAAGTGGTGAGACTTCCATCTCAGTTCTTAATCTGAGAATATTTGTTTTCTATTTGAATTGGTTCATTATTAAAACATTTCGCGTTCTATAGATATATTTCTAATGTCTGTGAGGCACGAGTTCGGTTCATTTTTGACGCGCTCAAGTTTGGTTTCATTATTTTACAGCGCACAACGTTTTGTTGTTATTGTGAGTGTACACAAACAAATGTAGACCCTTACCAGATTCGTACGATGTAATTATTCTTGTCTGTATGACCAAAAATGACGGAGTGTAGGGGAGAGCGGGGCACAAAGTAACACTTTTTGACTTTCTCAGTTTGTGTAAATCCACATGGGGTTCAGAGTATAATTTTTTTGTCCACAGTAATGTCACACTTGTCTAGTACAAATATGTCGCTTTGTTTCATAATTACAGTGTATACGTTTTTCTTTATTTACCCTCAAAAATTGGAAGTGAAATGTGACAACGCCCCGTAGGTGGAGTACATTGTAACATCTGAGGGGCACGTTGTAACATGACCATATAACAGCTTAAAATGTTATATGATTGAATTAAAAAAATATACAAGACAAACTAAAATATTTTGTCAATAAAATTAAATTATTATTTATTTCAAATAAAATAATGGTGTTTTTTAAGAATTAAAAATAATCTGATTTTGGAGTTTGACAATGAACACATTGCAACCATGCTTGGGACGGCCCACATAAACGAGCCAAAATGCTTTACATGTCTTGAAATAATAATTTCTTAACATTAAACATTGACTGTCAGTCTTTATTCACCTGTTTCTAGTTGTTTCTCATTACAATTCATTAAAGTAAATAGTGTAAATTGCATGGCTAATGTCATAGAATAGCACGGCAGGGCACATTGTAACGGAGTGTTACAACATACCCCATCTGCGCAACTGGAATTTAAAACCGGTTACTGTCTTCTGATAGTTAGCGAAGCATTAAAAAATAATTTAAACTGATAAATAACAGATTGGAGATTAAAATAATAGCAGATTTGTCTCATTTTAAATGAGTAATAAAAACTGAGATGAAGAATTTACTTAAGCCAGAAATATAATTTTACTATGGTAAAATAAAAGTTCAGCGATATCTTCAAAAAAACGTTTGAATTTTGGTGCACTTTTTTTCTCTATATATAATGTTGATATGGTAACTAGTAAATGCTGAACATTTGGTTATGCTAGCATGTGTGTAAATATTTAAACTACTTGTGTTACAACTTACCCCGCATTACTTTGTGCCCCGCGCTCCCCTAAGTGCAAGTGATCGCAGCGGCGCCTCCATGTTAACTGTCATGCAGTATAAGTGCACTGCTATTCAGCTTCCACACGCCGCACAAACACTTGGAAATGCGCACATTTAATATAGACATTATAGCCTACATGTAATATAGAGCGGCCCCCTCATTTTATGATAGGCCCCCCCAAAATTACAATTCTGGCTACACCACTGATATGAACAAGACAAGAAAAAACAAAAGGCATATACCACTGGTCAAGTCCATGAAAATGTCACAATTATCATTCCTGTATATTGATTTGTTTTTGTTTTGTATCGTTTTTTTTACTTTTTGTTAATTGTTTCCATTGTATTGTACTGAATATAATGCAAGTACAAACTCATCCTTGACTTCAGTGAATTAAACACATAAAATGCCAGTGAGCACTTACTTTGCAATCTCTGCTGCAGTGGCAGAAAAGAGGTCCTACAATTCGGGCAGTGTGTCCAGTTGTCTGTGGGAAGGACCCATCTAGATATAGGTAGTGGCCCAATGGGTTGCGGAGGGTGTGATCAGTGGATGGTCCAGTCCCATGTGTGTGCATATTTCCTGGTTTGATCAACCAATCAAAATCATCATCTTGGCTCTGTCTCCAGGAGCAAAGGTCAAATTCGAAATTGCAGCGACCACTGAATCCCTCTGGGGGAAAAAAACATGAATATTGTTAAAGGGATAGTGAAATATGAAAATTCTGTCATCACTCACTCACCCTCATGCAGTTTCAAACCTGTATGACTTTCTTTCTTCAGTAGAAAAAAAGAAAGAAAGAAAGATATTTCAAAGAACTTTGCAGTTTGAACAACATTGGAGCCCACTGAAGAAGTCAGTGGGCTCCAATGTTGCTTCACATAATTAATAAACACCATACCTAGGCCTGTCACGATAACAACTTTTTGTTGTGCGATATATTGCCCCAGAAATAATTGCGATAAGCGATATTATTGTCATATTAAAGACCATTTTATGCCACTGAATATATAATCATAATGTAACAGCATAATAATGCAAGAAGGCCTACACACTTCCAAATGACAACAAACTTTTAATTTTTAAGAATATTTAGATCATGGAAATTAAGGCCGGTTTGAAAAGACATGAGGGTAGCAAATCATGACAGCATTTAAATATTTGGGTGAAGTATTCCATTAAAACAAACACAAATGCACATGGAAATTACATTTAATACGGTTGCATACATTCAATACAGTATATGAGGTGTAAAGTTATTCCATACACAAATTCTGACCACTGAAATACAGTTGAAAAAAAGGGACAGGGAAGAGGATGATGGATTTGTTTCTCACTGCATATGTAATGATTCTCATCCGAGCCATCTCCACAGTGATCAATAAAGTCACACAAGTTGTCCTCGGAGATACAGTGACCGTTGGCACAGATGAACTCGTTGTTACGACAAGGAAGATCAGACGTTATTGGAGGGGCACAATCCACAAATGCCACGTCATCAACAACAACATCACCCATGTAGCTGATGCCTCGCTTGGCTCGAAGACCCACCTATTAATACATTCATAAACCAAAATATGCATGCTTTTAATCTGCAGTAATCTACATCATCTGCTCCACAATACTTTCCATACGCCAGCGTAGTCAAATGCACAAATCTATAAGCACACATTTACTCTATGAGACATGTCAGGTAAACAGACTAATGTGAAAAGATGTCACTCAAAATCAATTGATTCTCTTAAAAGAAAACAAAAAATTTATGTGTGAAAAGCTAAAGGAAAAAACTATACATAGAGATTGATTGTGAATTGGAAGTGTTTGAGAGCTGCTGCATAAGTTAAAGAGCACCAAGTCCCCTGATAGTATACAGCAAAAGGGCAGTCAGTACTAATGAGTGAGTGTGTCATGAAGTATCCAGCACAATGAAGAACTACATTTGTAAGAGTGTTTATATATAAGAAGTGTTGATAAATATTAATGATGCAAGGGCCAGATGGAGAAAAGGTCATGATATTTCTGATCAAGCATCAACAGTCCAAACATCAGCTTGACACTTAACATTTTACCACACACTTCAGGAATACTAAACACACAGTTCTCCAATCACCTTGATTAAAATGTAAACAAGTACCATAAATTTCATAAAATTTGTTTACCTGGTTGACACATAAACTATGGTTCAAAGGTTTGGGGTCAGTAAGATTTTTTTTTTATATTTGAAGGATGTCTCTTATGCTTACCAAGGCTGCATTTATTTGATCATATACAAAAATACAGTAAAAATAAAATAGCAATATTGCATAAGCTGTGATACCTTTTCAGCTTTTTTCCAAGAGTAGAAACTTTTCTACTCTATAGAAAGAACAGAATATATTTAAAATAGACTATTTTGGTAACATTATAAATGCCTTTGTCAGTTTATTCAGATTAATGCATCCTTGATAAAGTTTTTTTCTTTAAAATGAATCTTTCTGACCTCAAATGTTTGAACGTTTTATTACATGTTGGTGTATTTTTTGCAGTTGTTTAGGCACAGCTGGAGAACCAAAGGGAAAAAAGCTGGACATTCAAAAACGTATTTTTTCATTTATTTATTAGTCCTCACTCATGTAACAGAAACACTGACCTGAATGTTATAACGGATTCCTATGAAGACCTCACCCCGCCTCCAGCTGTTGCCTTGGTTACCACTTTGGGACCAAACTTCATGTGTGACAGAGACTGATTTGATAAAGACCTGCACATACAATTTTGAGATTGTTTTGACAAACTGCAAATTGCTCTCTGTAAAATCCTTCATAACAAACATTTTAGAATTTGAACACAATGAAAGAGAAAATGAAGCACGAAATTTATTCTGTCACATTAATAACATGTTTTGATGTTTTCTAGGCATGGGTTACCAGTGCAGCAAATGAGTAACAATTATATTCATAATTTCTAGATAACTGCACCTGCAGCGTTCCAACAGTAAAGCCACTCATGTGATACCAGAACACAAGTGTGCACTGGGGTCCTGTTATTTTAATGGGAGCAGTCAAGAGATCAGTGGTATGACCATATCCTCCATTGGAGCTGTCCGCAAATATATACCAACCCTCTGAAGAACCACTGCAAAATGTACACGTATACAGATGAGTACACACAATAAAGCAGAAAACGTACACCTGCATAAGCAAACCTGACCATGCATTTATAAACTGAAGCACAAACACATTCCAGCAAATAATGCTGTTTATTGCTCACAGTGTGTGGTCGTTAGCAGGTCTGTGGTTCTGTTCTCCATGATGAATACTCTCCCCTTGTCCTGTCTGCCAGCAAAAGGAATGAGGAGGAACAGGAGTGGCCGGGACACTTAAATACCATCCACACAGAGCATCATTTTCAAAATCACAATACTCCTTCACTGAGAACAGACAAAACAGTAATATCAGAAGGATGGATGATGGAAGGATAGTTCGGGATCGGTAAGATCTTATTCATATTTTTATAAAAAATGAAGCCTCTTATGATCACCAATGCTGCATTTGTTTGATAAAAAAATGAAAAACCATACAGTAGTATTATTGAATAATATTACATTTTAAAATAACTGTTTACCATTTGAATATGTTTAAAATATTATTTTATCCTGTGATGGCAAATCTGAATTCTAAGCATCATTACTCCACTTAATCATTCAGAAGTCATTGTAATATGCTGATTTGTTGCTTAAAACACACATTTTTATTACTATAAGTCAGGATTCTTTGATGAATAGAAAGCAATTATTTGAAATAAAAACATTTTGTAAAATTATAAATGTCTTTACAGTCACCTTTAATCAGTTTAATTCATTCTTGCTCAAAGTAATAATTTCTTTCCAAAAACAAAAAAACTAAACAAAAAAAACCTTTTGAACAGTTGGTAGACAGACAGACAGACAGATAAACAGATAGATGCATACCACAGTGCTCTTCATCAGAGCTATCAGAGCAGTCTGGTTTGAAGTTACACACTTGACTGAGGCTCACACACTCTCTTGTAGTTGAGCACACAAACTGGTCAGGAGGGCAGCTATGAGGGGGTGTAGCTGACAAGGAGGGGATGGGGGCAAAGGTGCTAGGCTCCTTTGAGGGCAATTCACCTACATATACAAAGATATACACACATAAATACATTAAAACCCAGAATTTTAACGTCCTGAAATGGGCAACTGGATCCATATTGATACCAGTCCTAATAAGAATGTAATTTTAAGGATTTTTTTCATATGAAGCTAATTCCATATCATTTTTACTTCACCATCATATGGCTGACAGCCAATGAAAGACAGATCGTCTATGGCAATATCTCCTCTGAAGTCATCACCAACAGTCCCCTCCACTAAAATCTGTAGCAGCAAGAAAGAAAGAAAGAAGGCCTATCTTTATTTTGCAGTGTGCTCGTTTATCGGATGGGAAACAATTTACTAACAACGATCTAAAAAATAAGTAGACTACAATGGGCATATCAAGTATATGCTTTGGTAATGCCTTTTCTATTTTATTCCAAAAAAACAACAACAACACTTACTAGTCTTTAAAATGGACACATTAAGAACAAGCGAATCACTTAATAATAAGAAACACTGGATTTATAATAGTTTATATCGGGCTATATGTAGATTTCATAAACCCTTGTTATTAGCGACCCCGGTGGCCGTTAAGTGAACTGCAGCCAGCAACTTGCTCGTGCTCGCACTCGTGCACACGTAACGTACAAGAGATCGAATGTGATTCAGTGTCTTTCAGTGTTCTTCACTTTGAAGAAAAAAAGTTGGAAATACCTTTGAAGCGATATACTGTTAATGAACATCTAGACACCGTCCACACTGATGAGAGCGGTGTTTAGATGAATTATGAATATGTAAATATGCTCTGTGCGCCTTACTCAACACCCTTACTAAAATTAACCATGGTTTTATTGTAGTAAAAGTGTAGTAACCATGTTGTTTTGGAGTATTGATTACCATTTGTATAACCACAGTTTTACTAGAAATACCATGGCTAAACTAAAGTAACCATGGTTTTTTGGTTTAATTTGTAGTAAAACCATGGTTAATTGTCGTAAGGGCAGTTCAATAAAGTTAAACTTACTCCAAACAAACCACAAACAAATTCTGCCATTCCTAAATGTGTTTTTGAACGAATCGGTTGAGTGAATGAGTCAAACGTCCACATAAAGACTCAACTGCTGCCACCTACTGGTGTACCGATGTAACCAGCAGAAAGAGAAGCTAAAAAATAACCTGTCAACTATCTGCTTGTTAAATGTGTGTTATAAATGAATAGTGCTCAAAAAGTGCTTTATCCACCTTTTTCTTGTCGTAAAAATGGGCGCGGCCATTTGTAAATTATATGGGTCTGGCTTCCGGTCTCATCTGCCTCCACTCCATCCAGCTATTTTTAGCTCAACAAAACAGTTCGTTTTGCTGCTTGATATTGAAAGTTGGTGTGTCTTATCATATTATTTTAATGTATATGAACACACTGGTTTGTAGTGCAAACCGTTTTACCGTTTACTGCACCTTGTTATTCTCCTCGTTATTTACCTATAGCGGGTAATGAACCGGAAGTCTCACCCATAGGCTTACTTCCGCGTTGAAGAAAAAGGTGGATAAGTGTAACGGCCACGACGCCAAGGGTGTGCATTATTTTTCTAATCAATTATTCCTTACGTATTATATAGTATTCTCAATTGAAACGAGTAGAGGCTTGGACCTGGAAACAGTATTACTTGTCACAACTTAACAAGTGGATTGTGTTTCCCTTATAAACGTTGCATTAACTCGCAAAAGCACTTAAATATAAATTTTCCTCATCACATATTATTTCTTTCACAAAAGAGAATGCAAAAGCATTGAAATATAATTTTTTCCTCTTGTCTACATTTTTTTTTTTGTCTGGAAATGCAGATAAGCAAACATTTGTACTACATATCTGGAATGACCGTAATTACATGATGATATAGATTATAATTTATATTTTAATAAGCTTGGAAAATAATTTGTAATATTGCTAATACTAGCCTACACTTCAGCATGCTTTGTGGTTACTATGATTGCTCAGACTTTAGTGCATGCATTATCAACAGAGTGCATGTATGAGCATAACATTTAAAGCTGGAGCAGCCAGTTAATCAAATGATTCAGCACACAAGGACACCATTACACCCATACACTCCAGTCCTCATAATTCTGATGAATAACTCACCTGAAAGTGGTGGGCGCTGTTGATCAGCAGTGTCTTCCTGTGCCAAAAGTTGCCTTGGTCACTATAGCGAACCCACAACAAGTTGCCCCGGCCACTGTTACGGGTGCGCATGTACACAGCCAAACGAAACACATGCTGGCCAAACATGTGATAGTGGAACCTAAAAACACAGGGTGGTTCGGATTCAGGACCTCGGCGAGGAGTTTGGAGAAAAGGCCGACTGATAAGAACGGCCGTGTCTTTGAATTTCTGTGGGTCTGAAGATTCGATATAGAGGAAGTGGCCATCCTCATTGGCTCGTGTGTGGTCCTTCCATGGGCCTGTGTTGAAAGTGGGAGTGGGTCCTTGGATACGGGTCCAATCAAACATGTCTTCCTCGTGTTCCTGAGTCCAGCTACACAGGCCTTCCTCAAAGTCACACATTAGCTCCGGCGCTGATAGGAGAAGAAAAGATCACTGTAAACGTGACTGCTAACGTCAAACAACATGAACTGCTTCAATGACCATTTAAAACTCCACCAATACTGACAGCAGTTTTCCTCATCTGTTCCATCTCCACAGTCATCGATCAGGTCACAGATCTGGTAATAGTCCACACATGCTTTGCTCCGGCTACAGTGAAGGTGATTAGGAGCTGGGCATATCTCCACAGCTTTGGGCAATGAGCAGTTATGGAACATAATATCATCTAGAGCGGAGACTCCTTCATACACAGCCAAGCTCAGTTTTGCAACTGAGATGTGGAAAGGCCTGGTCTGTCTGCCAATTTGGACAATTACAGGGTGCCACTGGTTACCTTGGTTGTAAAGTGTTTGCCAAAGTATAGTGCTGCTGTCTGAGCCCTCTATCACCAGGTGCATTTCAGCAGCACCAACAGAATGACCAGAATTATAGTGCCTGTAAGCAAAACAATCAATGTAAATATTGAATCTAAACAATGAATGTTAAAAAATATACTGCAGTGAAGAATATTATTTTATTTGTGTTTTTGCAAATATTAACATATATGTTTAGATATAATATATTTTAATTAATGCATTTTACTAGCTTAGAAAGAGATAAGGCCAGAGCCTTACCAGAAGGTCATGACACAAACTGAACTTGTTTGCTGGAATGTAGGACTGTGCAGCAAAGCCTGCTGGGACAACCTGCTGCTCCTCTTGAAAATAAACATGAAGTGGCCTTAAAGGGGGAGAAAAAGACAGTAAAATATTTAAAAAGTATTAACAAAACCTGAAATTGGAAATGCCTTTGCCACCATTCCAGTAATTCGCATTTAATTTACAAATCTCCCAGAGGCCAAACCTAATTAATTATCTATGGGAGCACAATATGAAAAGCAGCACTATTTTTCTTTCGCAAAGCACTAAAATTTAAATGAACTAGCCTAATTCTCACACAATTTACACTCCCAGGTGATTTGTAGATAAACATTATAAGTTAAATGGGATTTTTTAAAATGTTCCAGTGCTAGTTAAAACTAAGTAAAGGTTATTCATGGAGAAACAGAAATGTTAGGAAATGTGCACATGGAATAAGTGGATGTGGTTTATAGGTCAGAACTACAGTTTTAGCATCTTTTGGGAGTGAGAGTAAATTAAATGTGAGACAAAATAATTTCATGATTTATTTAGTCTGTGTATTTATGTCAGTGCCCTCACCTGCACTTGTATTAGTAGAGTGGTCCTGGGGTGGTGTTTGGTCCGGATAATCTATGGCGACTCCATTAGCTGAACCTCTCACCCATTCAAACCCATCACCCTGGACAAGCTCATACCAGCCACATGAGTCGGACTCGAAATCACACTGTGCCGCTGAAAGTCAAATTAACATCATGAAATAATAATGAAACAATAAATGAAACATAAAACCACCATTGAAAATATAGACAAAATAGTTCAAACTTTCAGAATATCTTATTTATATTCCAAGGAAGAAAGAAAGCCATATACAGTAGGTTTGTAACTACATGAGGGTGAGTAAATGATGACAGAATTTTCGTTTATGGGTGAACTTTTTTCATTCATTGTACAAAAAAAAAAAGTATTTGATATCAGTCAAGGTAAATGTTTCTTAAACAGTGACATGGCTCATGTTCCAGTGAAATTATGCAAGCTGTTTTAAATTTTCAAGTCTCCAGTCTCTCAGTCTACTACAGTCTCTTAAGTAAGCTATTTCTGCAATAAAAATAACTGTAAGCGAATGACACCTGCAAGACATTCAGTTTACAAATAGCTGTACACACAGTTACATTAAAAATAAGATGGATACTCACAACATTTGGCCTCGTCCTCTCCATTGGGGCAGTCTAATGAAAAATCGCACACTTTCACCCCTTCTACACATTCATTTGCCCCACAGTGAAACTGAGATGGGGGGCACTGAGTTGGAAGAGGTGCCTTGATGTCAGTCTCTGGAGAAAACAATAAAGCCAAAATACATATTTCATAGAAAAGGTAAGCAAAAGGTCAAGAAGGGACTCATAAAGTGAAGAGTGGCTTAGAGCTCCTTCCTGCATTATCACCTCTGTTTACAGTGTCATGTGATGTAGATCTGGACATGGGCACATTATTATGATTAATCTGACTGTCCAGAGTACTGCTGAAATAAATCACAATAATGCGGTATCGTAACGCACACACACACATTTACAACTAAACACATAAACCTCCCTTCGAAACACTTGGCCATAGAAAATCAACCTTGTTCTGTTCTGTTCTGTTCTGTGCAGATCTGTATTTATGGTGGAAAATAAAGCAAGATTATCTTTTCTCATATATAGTTAAGCATTTTTGTGACCGATGTGTAAAATAAAAGTTATTGACTTACTGCAAAGTTGTGTCAGCAATTACACCTTAAAATGTAGACCTATAAAATCTTCAGAAGATAATAAAACCCCACCATGATTTTGTCATGGCATTTATATATACTCGAAATTAAAAATGTAACTGATATCTCTCCTTCTTTCTATCATGGGCTGAGCTGTAAATTAGAAAGTTGCTGAGGTTCCCTTCTGCCCATCACTATTGTTCCTCTGGTGTCGTAGTCCATCCAGCACAGGCTGTAAATGTATTAGGCCTTATTTACAGCTTTATATTCCTGCATCTCTTGAGCTCTCTGCACCTCACACCCTTCAGAAATTTCTAAAGCAAATCCATCACATAACTTCATTTTTGCGTCTTTACAAACAGCTACATTATAATCCAAACATGGATGTCTGAAGGAGGAACATATTCAGACATGGATAACTTCAATGAAGCACACATACTGATGATATCAGGGGAATTTCCAGACTTTCATCAGTAAAAGGGCACATGAGGCCCTCCATCAAAAAAAGTGTGTCCATATTTTGAGACCCTTTTTAATACTGTTTTGTACCTAAATAAATTGGCTTTACCTGCAGCACAGTTTCGTTCACAAGCTGCATGTGCAATAAAGAGCTGTTTGATCATTGACAAAAGATAGAAGACATTTGCATTTCCTACAATAAACTGTAGGAAAATATCCACCTAATCCACTGCTCTTTTATAAAACATCCTGTATTCCTGTTATTATTGCAGTGTGAGAATCCGCTGCAAACAATTCAAGAAATAGTTCACCCAAAAAGAAAATTCTGTCATTAATTAATCACCCTAACTCTTCCAAAATCTTAAGACCTTCGTTCATCTTTGGAATACAAATTAGGATATGTTTGATGAAATCCGAGAGCTTTCTGAGCCTCCATAGAGAGCAATGCAACTGAAATGTTCCCAGGTCCAGAAACGTAGTGAGGACATCGTTAAAATAGTGCATGTGACACCAGTGGTTCAACCAGAATTTTACGAAGCTACGAGAATACTTTTTTGCGTAAAACACGCAATTCGTAAACCAGGCGCAGCGCATGCATGTTTTACGTCAGCAGCAGCACGTGCATACGTCGTGGTAATCTCGATAACGGAGGACGGTGACGTGTTGAATTGCGAAGAATTGTTGAATAAAGTTATTATTTTAGTTTTCTTTGTGCACAAAAAGTATTCTTGTAGCTTTGTAATATTACGCTTGAAACTGATGTCACATGGACTATTTTAACTATATTAAAATAGTTAACATAGTTGAGTCTGGGAACGTTTCAGTTGCATTGCTGTCTACGGAGGGTCAGATGGCTCTCGGATTTCATCAAAAATATCTTACTTTGTGTTCCGAAGGTGAACGATGGTCTTACGGGTTTAGAACGACATGACGGGGGTGTAATTAATGACAGAATTTTAATTTTTGGGTGAACTATCCATTTCAGTGCTTGAGTGCATCCGAATGAATCAAACTGAATCGCAAACAATTTCAGACCAACACTGCGTTCCATTCTGAAGAACTCATCCCTATTCCTTAGTCCCTTTGAAGGTTTTACCCTCCAGACTGAGAGCCTCGAAGGGATGAACAAAAAAACTTTTTCTTCAAACTCACTTCTATATTCCCAAAGCCAATAAAGGAGGGACTGTCGTCATGCAATTAAACCCACGGAAACAATCATGGAGGCAAAGTGTCCATCATTTGTACCCTTCAAAATCCCTCATTCTGATGGGCCCTTTGAAGTAACCAGTTCTGTTTGGACTGATCCTTGAATATGGCATTGTGCACTGAAGTGCCCTTCAGAAGCCGAATTATCCTTTTTGGAACGCAGCGTTTTTTGCAAACCAGTTTGACCGATTAGATCAAAAGAGTGATTCATTTGTGAATCTGGCATTGCTAGTTCTGATTCTAGACAGAGTAAGAAAAAGTGATGAGGACGTGTGTCCCACACCCGTTCCCATTCTACAATTGGTCACCATTTGCTCTGGATGTGATTATCCCAAATAGCCTAGAAACAACATAACGGTTGACTTTCTTCTTCTCTATAATAATTAAGCCATTTTGGGAAATGAGCATGATCAAACATATATTGTGGAGTGGAATCTGGGTCGGGGCAGACTATAGATTCTTACAACAGCTAACAGAAAACACACGTGACTTGATCGCTTAAGTATTATCAATCAAAATGATTCTCATGCCAGTATACATCAATCCCACTGACACATAAGGATTCATCAGTAACTTTTTTACTGGGGCACAGTATTTCACTGGGGCTCTTGCCCCAATAAAAATGGTCTAGCGACACCGCAGAATGATACTGATGCTCCACAGAATAAAGTCAGTCATACAGATTTGTAACGACAAATGTAATTTTTAGGGGAACAATTGAATTAGGTGGATTTAGGCAGCCTTATTGGAGATACATGGTACCCTGAAACAGTCCAGACTGTGCAGACTGATTCGCCGAAAAAAGCACTCTTGAGAAGACATATTAGTGTTCACCCACCTACTACTGCTACCACACATCCTCTGCTGAAGGACACATCATCAATCGCTACAACTTCATATGGGTCACTGCTGTTGAATATCAATCCTCTAATCACAACCTGTAGATTCACAGTGATTTTGTGTTACTGATTGAACTATGCACCATACATACCAAACAATAATACCCCTTCCCCCAAACACACATAAACCCTCATACAGTACATGCACACCAACCTTAAACTCCTCTCCGCTGTTTAACACCACCACTGTTCGCATCCAGGGAAGAATGTGTGGATCAGGATTGGAGGTGGACTGAAACCAAACCTCCTGCATCTCTCCCGAAGATTTGAACTGGATCAGAACCTGCAAAGCCCCAGCCAGCATCCCAGTATGACGATAGAAAGTTAGCTGTTCAAAGGAAAGGACAACAAAGGGAGAGAAAATATAAATCCCTCAAAAGAACATGCTACGTGAACAAAGGATTCAAGAGGTGCATTGCTCGCTTCATTACACATTTTGAGCTTTAAAGATGAAACATTAAAGATATTCAGCATTTGGCCAAATGAGACCAAATGAATGCTGAAAGCATCTAATACTCAAAGCAGTTTTGTTGTAAAGTGAGGTTATGTTATTGCGTCTTACTGCCAAGTTCAATGTCATCTTATTTTCGTTTAAGCAGAGAAGCACTCAAAGTGAATTACTCCATATTCGATAACGGAGAATCTAAAACCATAGATCACAATGAGTTCATGCACTACCCACTGTGTCAGGGCTCTGACATCCTATGCATAACTCTCTGCTGTCAATAAGAGTGTGTAGCCAGGGCAGTGGATAAGTGCTCTACACACATAATCGAGGGCTTGAGCCAAGCACTTAACATGATGCTTATGGTTTGTGGTAAACTCTGCAGTATGTCTCTCTTGACAAAAAACAAACACATTGGTCCATTTATTGAACTACTAAAATCGTTCATATAATTTTTTTAATAGGCTATTTAATTTGACACTGGGACTTTTCATTGTTTTTAATCACCCCGCTTGTCTGTGTTAATTTGAGACAGACTGTCAGTATGCACATTAGTGGTGATGATTTGTCAGCCAATCTTTTTGCAGGTTTCACATCAGTCAGTGGTGACAAGTGCCTATAAGTGAACCATTCCGTGAGCCTATTCATTCAGGAACTAAACCAGAGTAAAGGTCCTTGCACAATGAGTCAGAAATTTTCGTATGTGGTTTTTTTGTATTCGTCATCCTTTCCTATCAAAATGCTTGCTATGGGTACGAAAATGCAGAAAATCGAACCTGGTCCAAATTTTTTTTATGACAGACTAAAGTTTCAGAGGCAGTGTGTAAACGTGATTGACATAATGTGAGGTTGTATCTATTTTTTAACGTACGAAAATTTTGGACGAGAATTTCGGACTCATTGTGCAAAGACCTGCAGTGACTTTGTTCTGAACAATTTTGTTGGCAGAGCAAAAATAGACAAATTAACTGGCAATACTGTGTCTAAAATGTAAGTCAATATTCATTTTTAACAGCTGTATAAAAGCAATATCACACAGTTGTGTATATATTATGGGAAATAGTATTTTGATAGCTTGTTCTAAAAAGCAGATGGCGGTTTGGCAAATAGGCTACTGATTCATGTGGTATCTGAATTTAAGAATTAATTCAAGAACAGAAAATTAAATACAACACCAAAAGATGTTTAGTCATGTTTTTTCTCTACCCAGCATGTCTGTGAAGGCTGGAAGAGAGGACTGTATATTTCAGCAGTGACTCTTCCTCCAGTTTTTGATTGTATATAGAGGCAGTGACCTGACAAAAGAGAATAAAGAGTGTCCTGAGAAGTCAGGAAATACAATATAAAACCAAACCTTATTAACATCTAGAGAATATGGTGTTTACACTGAGGGAGAAAAAAAACTAATATGTAAAAAAAAAATGCAGTTATGGAATTTAGTATGTACTATCAGTTATAGGGTGGAAGGCATGTAGAAGATTGTGTACAACAGGTTTTTCAGAAACGTTTGACCATGTTGATAATTAAAGGCCTTAGAATTCATCTATCAAATTTGAAACAGTGGGCTTTATAGAGTTAAGTAGTATCCATACAGGTATAAGATGAAATGTCTTACCATAACATTCTTCTGTCCGCTCGCCACCAGAGGTCGTCTTCTGATTATATTGACTCTCACACTACACAGACTGTTACACGTCGCCCTGGACTACATTTCCCATGTTCCATTTCACTAATCACACTCTCACCTGTAGCCAATCACACACACTATAAATAAGAGGTCCTAACCACCACTCGGGCTGAGTATTGTTTAGCGATTATCACTCTCCTAATGATAGCTACTTTACGGAGCCAATTCCCTGTCTTAGGGTGCTTTCACACCTGTAGATTGATTGCTTTGTTCCGAAACAGGGATTAAAATAATTACAATGTTGCTTTTTATTCTTGGTGCGGTTCGCTTTCACACGGCAAAGTTTCTAAACGGACCAAATTTGTTAATACAAGTCACGCGCGAGTAAACTGTTCTCTCATTGGTCAAAGTTCCACGGTTTATGTTCCGGGATTCCACTTAGCAGTCACGGCTGTCATCCGTCAGGATGGAATGATAACAGCTTTGTGGGCTTATTGTTGTTTATTTGTTTTTGTTTTTTTGTAGCTGTCCTTATATTAATTTATCATTTTGAGCAGGAGTCCAGGATTCATCGGGAAAACATTTTTAAAATGCACCTAGAAGAGCAATAAGACGGCATTATAAAATGAAAAAGTGCGCTTTTTTATTTTGAATGAA